AGAGTGGTTTCTTTTTCCTGACACGTATATTTTATAGAACAATTTTGCTTTTATTTATAGCTTACGGATGTTGAGAAAGGGAATGTTAAATAATTCATTACCTTGGTTAATGTATAATAAACTTCGTGTTGCATGTAGGAAATGGGGCAAAGAGGAATGAGATACAGGGGCCTGCGTGCCCTCAGGGGGCTCAGTCAAGTTGGGGAGACAGAGCTCTGGCGGGGTGTTGGGAGCCGAGAAGGACTAGACGAGGCTGTGGTAGGACATCCAGGGGTCTTGCCAGGTGCTGGGATCTGGGTGAAGTGCATGAGGAAGGAGGGCAGTGCTGGCAGAAGCAGCAGTTTGGACAGCAGCTCATCACATGCGCAGTTGGGTCTGCTGGCTTAGGGGCAAGGGAGGCGGAGGAAGCTGGAGAGGTCGTTGGGGCTCAGCCACCACGGGCAGTGAGGACTCCACCAAGCACGTGGACTTTATCCTTTCGTGGCGGGGAACACTGAGGAGGATTTAAGCAGGGGAATTATGCGAGCAGATTTATCTCTTAGAAAGGTCACTCTTGAGCATGGAGGAGAGATTAGGGGGCTAACAGGAGGCACAGAAGACTAGCCAGGTAGTTAGTGCAGAAGTCTTGGTTGGAGGGGTGATGTTTGAATGGAGGCCTGAATTTAATGAGGGGATTTGGGAAGAGGAGAAAATCAGATACACTAAAAAAATAGAACGTGTAGAACATGGTTTTTTGGCGGGGGATTATGTTGGGGGAGTTGTCATTAAATGATGGTCCATTGTACTGGGACACCAGAATGCGTGTGTTTGGTCAGGCTAAATAAGACAAAATTAGAAGACCATTTCTTAAATTGGGGTCACAAAGTGTCCTGGGGGCTCTCTTGCAGGTTTTTGCTGCCTTATGCTCTGGATGTATTTTAGGTCCCAAAGAATTTAGGAATGCAGCACTACTCATGTTTTACGAAAAAGTAATTCTTTTTAAAAACCATTCACTATTCCCCCTCCCCACCCTCTTTTCCTGTTCCTGGCCATGATTTCCCAGTCTCTGCTAATCATAAAATTTATTGACAGTCTCATCTCCTGCCTCCACCTATCTTACCTTCCTTATCTTCTGATTAAATAAAAGAATTATCCTCTTTATTTATTTGATAAATCATTTCATGGGTGCTTGTGTCTAGGGGTTTTGGAAGTCTGGCAATAAAACATCACCTGCTAATGGAGGAAACCTATAGATCTGTTCATTATCAAACATCCACATGCCAAAGACTGAGCATTGAGTGTTTTACAAAGTTAAAAGAACAGCATTTGCTCTTTAGAAGATTAATGTAAGAAAACAAACCTGCAGAGGTAGAAACTGGCAAGAAGGAAATGTCAGAAACAACATCTACCTTAAGCCTTCTGCAGTGGGGTTTGATTTGAGTTGCAGCTCTGGAGTTATGGCTACGTGGTGGTAGGCCTGGTAGCTATAACACCAGCACTCTCTATTCTTTGAAAGTTTAAGATGGAGTGTAGCTGTTGAGAGTCTGGGTTCTGGATGCCTGACTTCCTGGCTCTGCCTCTTATTATAAGTGTCACCTTGACCAAATGACTTGATCTCCGTGATTCCTATCACTATCCATAAGATGAGGATCATACTAGTGCCTGCCCTGGGATTGAGAAGTAAATAGCAAACGTAGGCGATGTGCATGATAAACACTCGTTCCTAAAGCCAAAGCGCGCTGTCATAAGGCTCCGCTGAGAGAGGGGTGCCGTGTGAGTTCCAAGGATCATCGCTTTCCCACCACATGGAAGCCATGTGGCGAACCCTGGGATCCTTTGCACTCAGCTCATGCTAGTTGCACAGAAAACCCCGGACCATACTTTCTTCAGGACGAGTTAGTCTTCCGAGTTTTCAAGTCACTTCTTCAGTCACATCATATACATGCTTGGTTGTCGCTTCAGGTGTCTTACAGAAACAAGTTTGAAGCTAACAGGTGACAAGTAATACCTTAGAGGAAATGCAGGCAACACTGCCTCTCTGAAACCTTCCCTTGATATCTGTCATCTCCCTCCTCACTTGAGTTCAACACATATTAATTGAGCACCACTGTTTTTTTGTTCTATATTAGGCTCCAGAGAAACAAAGATGAACAGACAATTCCATCCTCGTGAAACTTACTGTAATGGAAATACATGTAAACAAGTTCAATGCGAACACAAATGGAAGTGTGTAGAAAGTCAGAGTGGTACTGGGGAAGACTAGTAAGGAAACTTTCACAGATTTGGTAACATCTTAGTAGATTTTGCATGGAATAAGAATAGGCAGAGTCAGCAGGTCAGCATGGTTTGTACAAGAGAACTGGCCATATATGTGTGTGGGGGCGGTGATAGGAGATGAAATTAAAGGTGCAGGCAGGAGCTGGATCCTGTAAGAACCTGGTCTTTGTCACGTGGGCCTTGGGGGCTGCGGAGTGACTGTAGGCAATGGAATGCTGTAAGGTTTGCATTTTTAGCAGGATCTTCCTAGTATGGAAGATGAACTTGAGAAGGATGTTGGAGATGCTGGCAGGTTCATGTCCCCACCGCAGATTTATTCAGGCCAGTGACAAGAGTCCTATTTACTCCTGTATCCTTGAAGCCTAATACTTCTTAGACATTTCAGAAGTGTTTTAGAATAAAGACAGCCCAAGTTGAATTTCCCGATTCTGCATCCTATCCTCAGAACATGCTGACCTAGACCTCCATCTGTCATAAGCAGCTTGACTAAGATCATAATAAATTCTTTTTTTCTTGGCATTCTTTTAACTGGTACTCCGTATTTACTAGCCCCTCTGTGCAGCCATAGTGTGGTGATGATTGATGCTTATAATTCTGACCCTGAAGGACTCCAAGCCTTCTAAATCATCCGAAGCAGATTAAAGTATATTCAATATCGCTGTAATGTTTGTGTGTCTTACTGCATTCTTATTCTTTGGAAATGCGTGGTTGAACTATGTGCCTGTGCACTCATTTGCACGTGGGCACGGTGAGAGTCTGTGGTCACCCACAACTCTGGCCTCCCTCTCAAAGCCTGCCAGGCGCAGCAACTTTGTTAGCAGTGCATGCTTAGAAATACGCACGCAGAACAAACCTGGGCTTGCTTCTTTCCCAGGAGGAAGAGGGTTGGCCCTAAAGGGGCAGATTGGACAGAGATGAGAGAGAAAGCAGGGGTTTAAAAAATAGTGGGAGTGAAAGCGCAAGCTCCGGTACAGACTCGCGGGTCAAGCGGTTTACTGCGAGCCCAGGCCCGGGCCCTGCCCCGGAAGAGCCCGGACAGCAGCTCCGCAGTCACGCGTGCCTCCGCCCGAATCTTCAGGCCTGAGCTCGGCAGCCGTCTGCACTGGCCCTATTTGTCGTACAGTAGCAAGCGCTCGGTAAAATGCCAAACAGCAAGTGAAATCATCAATAATTAGGGCATCCTTTTCCCCACACTCGCACCTCTTTTCATGGAAACTGTTATTACTGCAGAGCTGATGGCGTGCTCGGCCCAGAAGGAAGAGCTCCAAACGGAGGCTGTGAGGGGCTGGCAGCGTTTGGTAGCCTGGCTTCTGAAAGAAAGGCATTCACGCTGTCACCAGAAGGGAGGCTGGCGGTTTGGATTATCTTCTGGGGGTTGTACGTTGCAGTAAGGAGAGAGGCCTCTTATATTTTGTTGTACGGACTTGTTTTTCAAATCTGTGTTGGATCAACAAGTCGTGCCTGTGTGGAGGCCTCGCTCATGGTCCCAGCCCGGAGAGCCCTCTCCGCAAGGGCGCAGGTGGGCTTTAGAGCTACCAGCTTCACCATTTGCCAACTCTGTGATCTGGGCGGGTGTCTTAGTGTCTCTGGATCTTACTTGTCATTTTGTGAACTACTGGAATATGTAATTTCCTTCTTCACAGAGTTGCTCTGAGGCTGAAATACAGTGCTGGACGTGAAAATGCTTAACTGGGAAGCCATATATACATAATAGTATACTAAATATACTGAAACACATGATAAATATTCTAATAAAAGTAGAAAAGTTTCATCAGCAAGCAGTGTCCTCAAAATTTTCCCCAGGTACAGTGGGGAAAATGAACTATTTATTGAATTCCTACTATAGAGTGTAAGTTCTGGCTGTTACTTTATCCATTCCATCAGCTGGCTGTTAAATCCCTATTTCAGAGATGAGAAAACTGAGCCTCTGGTCGCACAGCTATATATACACACAGCACACGTGGGATTTGGACCTGACTCCGGAACTTAGTGCTCTTTCTCCTTATGTCAAGTTATCTCTCTTATTCCAACCCTCCTTCCTCCAGCGTTCTTAAAAGCTGGGAAGTTGCTAGCCATCTCTTAGCTGTCCACTCCTGCAAGTAAGAACTCCTGAGCTCCAAGAGCCCCTGCAGGGACCGGCCCCTCAGGGAGAGTCGGGGCGTGGGGCACTCAGACTCCACCTTGAGAGAGTCGGCCAGGCCTGGACCGGAGGCAAGTGGGCCACACTTCCCAGCCCTTGAGGAAATGGCTATGGCCCTGTAGTGTCTGGAAACTCATTCTCTCTCTGTCACAGTGTTTCCCACCCTCACGGAGGCTGTTTGGTGAGCCGCTGCTTGGGTCCTTCCCCCACCAGAATCAGTGCCTCTCATGCCTTCTGACCGGCTTCTTGTTCGGCTTGCAGAGGGAGTGAGATTACAGTGATGCCATGCAGAAACCACCCTGCTGAGCTTTTCTGGGGCCCTCCCTGTTAACTTTGATGCCAGGTATTGGGGGAAAGCATTCCTGGGGTGGCAGTTCATTAACTGCCCAGTGGGACCCACTGCCACATGCATTCTCTTTCATAGATAAAGTTTGCCCGGTTGCGGACAGACAGGCGGCTTATGAACTGGAGCTGCCCACACAGAGAACCAGAGATAATGCCTGCTGAAGGGCCAAATTGGATATTCCGGGAGGGTGTCAGTGTGTGGGAGAAGCATTTGTTCAGACTGTGGATCTGAGAGGAGCTGTGTGTCATGTTTCCATAGGTTCTCAACAGGAGGTGCGTAGAGGCGGCAGTGATGACAGGCCTGGCACTGAACTGCCACATAAACAAGAAGTCCTTGTTTGACAGGAAACACTACTTCTATGCAGACCTCCCTGTAAGTACGCTTTGTGCTCCACCCTCGGCAAGTTCTCAAGAGCCGCAAGTTCTTGGAGCCAGGAGGAGGGCCGAGCCTCTCATGTTTTCCATCAGAACTCTGTCCCCCTCAGCGGGGAGTGCTGCCCAGCCCGGCGAAGACAGGAGCCCCCCGATGTTTACTAGATTGGATGCGATTGTCCTGATTGCTGACTCCTTGCTTAGCCTCATGCTTCTGGTGGCTCGCTTATAATTGAGCGGGGAGTAGAAGCCACCATTCCCAGGCTCAGTCCAGCCGTGGTGTTTGGCGCTAATTGCCTGTTAGGACAAAAGTGAACTCTGGGGCTGATGCAATGGCAAACGCGTACTGTAGCTCTGTCGACACAGGGAGGGCTTCGCTCTTTTAAGTTGAAGTTCCCAATAATAGGACTGTCACCTTTGGAGACATTTCTGTCATCTCACAAGGAGCAAGTAAGTGGACAATAGTAAGCAGGAACATGAACCAGAGGCCTCGACTAACAGCAGTAATCGGCTGAGCAGTAAACCCAACATTAACCTGCTTTTTCCTTAACATTAGGAAGTGTTTTCTTTCAGAGAAGCCAGTGGGAACTAGAGTCAATTTTTTATAATGCTGAACAGAACGGAAACTGTAATGATGGGTTTCCCCAAATGATGTCTTGTTTGATCAGAGCCTCTGATACTCAGTATGGCCCTTCTTCAGATTTAGAAGAATGGCAGTGACATTGCTTCGCGTTCTTCTTGATTGGAGGTTGGGGTGAGCTGTTTCTTAGTGGGTGAGAGCAGGAGGAAAAGTAAACAAGAAATACAACTAGAACCTGAACTCTCCAATTGCTGCTGCTTTATCCTCTGGCCCCCAGCCTGTTACCATATTCTACTGTTTCGAAGGGTGGAGAGAATGAACCTGAGGATTTTGCATCTTTTAAGAGTGATAACCAGTTAGGTTAAAGTGGGAGACTTAGCAATATGTGACTAAAGTGAGATGTTTTGATTATCTGTGGTTTTCTTTTCTTTCTGGCCCAGGTAGCGCAGATAAATTCAGAATTAGTGTTGCCAAATATTACATGGGACATACTTGCACTAAAAAAGTATTCATTATATCTGAATAAACTATTTATTCAGATTATTCAAATTTGAATTTAGCTGAGCATCCTGTATTTTATTTGGCAGCCCTACTCAGAGTTTAATTTTTACAAATTGAGACTTCCTGTTTTCACACAGAGAATGAGGCGGCCTAAAGCAGTGGTCTTTAACATCTGGTTCTCTGGGCAACTAGCAGCAGCTTCTCCTACGACCTTATTAGAAATTCTCAGACACCACCACAGACCTGCCAAATCGGAAAGTCTTTAGATGGGGCCATTCTGGGTTTTGACCAGTCTGCCAGGTGATGCTGAAATGGTTAAAGTCTGAAAAATGGTGGCCTCGTGTCTAGGATTACTGACTGGTTCTGGGGCCAGACCATCCCAGTTCAAACCCTGACACTGATCCTTACTAGCTCGGTGAGGTTGGGCAAGGCCCCTGATCCTTTCCATGCCCTGCACCCCCTGCCGAGGATTGCCGTGAGGGTTAGGAGGTAGGAAGTGCTGAGAACACGGTGTCAGAGGCCCTAGTACACTCCGGCTATTACTCTCTGCTCTTTGCCCGTTCTCCAGTATTGATCTGCCGCCTCTTTAGCATGTGTTGCTGCGTGTGTGCATTTGAAAGTAATTCTTCCTCTCCACTTAGAAGGGGTGAGGGAGTCTTGTAAAATCCGTCCATATTTTACTACTGCATGCTTTCGTTAGCTGAGTGCGAGTGTCCCAGCAGTTTCTGGCTGGCGGAACAAGGAAAGTTGGGTCAGGGAGGGCAGCTGGCATGACTGGGTAGCTTAAAGAACAGGAACAAAACAAGCTTATGCACACTAGCAACTGCTGTCAGCCATGCCGAGAGCAGACAGCAAGTGCTTAGCCAGCACTTCCCAATAAGGAGGGTCTGTCAGGAGCCCAGTAATCAGATGCAGGGTGTAGGCTAATGAGCTAAGTGGAAACAATACATTCTTTTCTTAGAGGCCTCTGACAATGAGATTATTGTTATTCTTCAAAATGGTACTTCAGTAGGGAAGATGGGATTTGTGTTAATTAATTGCATCATTATTTTGGGATAGGGGGCCCAAGGAAGGTTTAAGGGAGATGGGAAAAGCCAGAAGAGGCCAGCTGAATTATCGCTGCAAGGCATAAACTAATTTTTCTTCTCCTTTTCCTTTTTTCCCTTTTTGTTTAGTTATGTTTTTATGAAAGCCTACAGTTCTATGACATTAAAAGGAATGGTAAACCGGACGCCGCTTTCATTGCTAGACCAGTGACTATGTAACACATGTTTGTGCACAGGCAGGCTACCAAATCACCCAGCAGAGACTCCCAATCGCTGTGAACGGGAGCCTCACGTACAGTGTCTGTGCGGGGACGAAGCGGAACCAGGTGATCAACAAGACAGTGAGGATCAAGCAGATCCAGCTGGAGCAAGACAGTGGCAAAAGCCTCCATGATGACCTGCGGGCTCAGACGCTCATTGACTTGAACAGAGCAGGTAGGCTTAGAGGTTTTCTGTCACTCTTCCTCGCAGCATCCCCGCCTCCCCTCCAGTTCCCTAAACCAACGGAGGACCCAGGCCTAGGATCCTGTCGGATGGAGATGAGAGTGTCAGTGTTGGCACTGGCACAGCGGGTCCAAGAGCCAGGATCACTGTCGGGCTTGCTCACAGCAGATCCCTAAAATGACACAGACCGAGCCATCTAGTCACGTACTCAACAGCTCGATATCTTAAGTAGAATTTAAAAGAAGTGAATCAAAGTTAAAAGTCAAAAAAGTGAGTGGAAAGAGAGAAGCAATTCAGAGGCTAGGACCCTCTTTGACAGTCCTTCAGTAACACAGGGCCTGGTTTTCCAAAGACCGCAGCTGACTTATCTGCTGGCCAGATCAGAGAGCTCCAGTCAGGCTGACTCTGCCTCTCATTTGGTAGGAGTTGGCCTTCTGGAAGTGGTCCTGGAGCCAGACATGTCCTGTGGAGAAGAGGCGGCAACAGCCGTCAGGGAGCTGCAGCTGATTCTTCAGGCCCTGGGGACCAGCCAGGCCAACATGGCAGGTAGAAGCCACTCAAGCAGTGGCCCTCCTTCTCTGCCTTCTCTCTTTCTGCTTCATGGGTCTCTTTGCACTTGGGTGTTATTCTCTGCATCAGCTACATTGAGGTGGTTTACATCCTTTTTTCAGCTTTTTGCATTGTTTTGTTTTGTTTTGTTTTGTTTTCTTAGAATTTTCCTTGGGTTCTTTTCTGAGCTCTTAGCCAAAATACACAGCAGCAGTTCAGGGGCACTGAGCTGAAGAATGTGAGATTAGTAGTCACAGGAGTAGATGCTTTTTCTCTGGCTTCGTGCATCAAAATGTTGTGAGGATCAGTGAAATGATGTTTTTGAACTGTTTCATCTTTCTCAGCAAGAAGACACTGTGTTTATCCAGGATAACTCTCAGTGAGTGCTATGTGGGTGGTACTTCTTTGTTAGGTGATGCTTTTCCTTTAGGTTTCTTTCTTTTCCTTCTTTTGTAGAATTTTCATCTATGTGTAGCTGAAACCAAATTATATAAACTAAGCCAAGGTTGTGATTTCACAAAACTTTAACTTTTGAGATAAAATCTTAAGTTCAGTAGAAATATGGTAGGAACTTAAAATAAACAAAAAAACCCCACTTCCAACTTGTACCCTTGGGACCAAACAAACTCTACATTTCAAGTATTTGCACATTGCACATAAAGATAACAAGGAGCAGTCAGGCTCAGTTTGCCATGGCTCGATCACCCGGCCGCTTCTTAGTGCAGCTTTGCTGACCCAGGAGCTCCTGGAAGCTAGTTGCTTCGGTGGTTTTCTACCTATTTTCTGTTCCCAGGGACTTCAAAAAAACCTTCCGCCTCCTGCAGAGCATTCCCTAACAGAGTGGAGGAAGGATACCGATTCTGCATGTACAATTGTTACTCTGTAGCTCACGACAGTGGTGTACTAGGGTTTTCCACAGAAACAGAAACAGTAGAATGTGCATATGTTACACATATGTTTGTATATAATGAGATTTATTATAAGGAACTGGCACATGCGATTATGGAGGCTGAAAAGTTCCAAGGTCTGTGGTCAGGAGGCTGCAGGAGAGCTCCTGAAGAGAGCAAGCTCCAGGAGAACTGATAGTATAGTCCAGTTCAGGTCCAAAGGCCTGAGAACTAGGAGAGCCAGTGGTATAAGGTCCAGTCTGAGCCCAAGTGTAAAGACAGGCGAGTGCAAATTCCCCCCAACCCTGTCCTTTGTTTTATGTAGGCCTTCAATGGACTGAATGAGGCCCACCCGCAGTGGGGAGGGCCCTCTGCTTTACTCAGTCGGTGGATTCAGATGCTCATCTCATCCAGCAACTCCGTCACAGACACACCCAGAACAATACTTAACCAAATATCTGGGCAACCCATGGCTCAGGCAAGTTGACTCATAAAATTAGCCACATGAGCCCTGGGCATTGTGGCTTAACTGGTTGGAGCATCGTCCTATACAACAAAAGGTCATGGGTTCAGTTCCTGGTCAGGGCACATACCTAGCTTATGGGTTCATTCCCTGGTCAGGGTACATACCTAGGTTGTAAGTTCACTCCCTGGTCGGGGCACAGACCTAGGTTGTGAGTTCAGTCCCTGGTCAGGGCACAGACCTAGGTTGCAGGTTCAGTCCTAGTTAGGCACATATGGGAGGAAACTGATCAATATTTCTCTAACATCCATGCTTTTCTCTCTCTCCCCCTCCTCTCTCCCTCCCTCTCTTCCTTCCTCTCTCTCTAGAATCAGTACATATATCATTGGGTGAGGATTAAAAAATTAAAAAAAAAAAAACTGTTAGCCATCATGAGTGTTCACAGTGGATACAAGTAAATACCATTGAGGATGATGAATCATTTCCCTACCAGTTTATAATGCCATTTACCAACATTTTTATGTCATGTAATATGTTTGCATGGTACAAAAGGAGTTCTGAATTTGTAATACCACATTTGTTACATAGGACATCTTACAAGCAACAAATTGTTATATCAGAGCACTGGTACAAGTTGACTCTGAAGACAGAATGTGGTGATTTGCTATCTTCTTGAAGCTAAAGACTGGAAAAGCACTACCCACATGAGCGAGCGGTGTAAAGGTTAGCTGCCTACAAGTCTGCTTTGGAGAAATGAGGCTCTGTTCTAGAGGAAGAAAACTCTCCATTTCAGATTTATGACTCATGCTGCTCTTTACCCACAGAAATAAATGAAATATGGGCAGGTTGGATGGTTATCCGTTTATGCACTAAGTGTTGATTCTCTATTGCTTTAAAAAAAAGTTTTTATTATTCCATTCTTCTTCAAAATAACTGTGCTTTCTTCCAAACCTATGGAATAATAAACAGGCCACCTGTTAGCTAAAAAATAGCCCCACCTGGGTCCTTGCCAAGAGATAAACCATAACGGCAAGAATGCATCAGTTCAGTGACAGCTGAGAGGGCTCATTAAATCGCATTTCTTGTGACACTTTGTGTTGCTTTTAAATACAAATCTACCAGCTTTGCCCGTGGCACAGCAGCAGCATGGCTGCGGCGGTTCCAGCGTGCTGTGGGGAGGGGGGGAGGGCCGCCAGGCGTCTGCAGGGGCCCAGCTTTGTGTGCTGCGCGTGTGCGTTTCCTCAGCCCCAACCCCTCTGTTCCCACCACCCGGGACAGCTGTGTCAGCACAGGACCTGCAGCCTGGGAGCTGGGGGCCGCTCCAGGGAGGACCAGTGGACCTCCAGGGTGCTTTGGGAGTGACTCTTAAATTCCTCTGGGCTGTGACTCAGTGAGCCCCAGATAGTTTTCTGATGAGCATAGATGAGCTAGGCCTGGGTTCCAAATGTCATTTCCTTCTCAGTGGACATCTGCCAGTGGTGAGACCCTCAAAGCTGTTGGATAATTGTGTACCTACGTAGACATCCTGTGTCTCAATGGTAATAATTTTCAGCTTGAACATTTAGCATGTGCTCATTGATTCACTAGGCATTTTTAAAATTAATTCATCATCTCATTCAAACTTGACGTCATTCCTGCAAGAGGTGTTACTGTGCCTGTTGTACAGACGAGGGAACCGAGGCTCAAGGAGGAGGGAACTGAAGCTCAAGGAGGTTGGACTCTTTGCCCAAAGCTCACAGGAAGTGACTGAGGTAGAATTTGAGCCCAGGTGTGTCCGACCCCAGAAGCCCTTTCCGTAAGCACTGCCACACTGCCTCCTAGTGGCAACCACGACAGTGTTGGAGCTGCCATAGACAACAGCTTTGAAAGACCGTGTAGCAGGGCCTGGGTGCTGTGGGCGCTGATGGCACCCAGGTCCCAGCCCTGGGTTGGAATCCTGTCCTACCACCTCTGACTGTAGGAACCGGGGCAACGATTGAGTTCTCTGAGCCTCACTTTGCACACTCACAGAATGAGTCCCCAAACAATTGTGTAGGGAAATGGAAAGGCAGAAAGCAGTCATCCGCGTCTTCAGGTCAAGCCGGGGCAGCTGGACAGTGTCCCTGAGACTGGGACAGAGGTTGACGGAGGCAGGGAACATTGGGAGAGCAGTCCTTTTGTGGGGGAAAATCCGGAATTCCACTTGGAATGTGTTCATCTGAAATGCCTAAAGGGTGTCTCGGTGGCTTTTTCATTAAGACTAGATTGTAGGGAATGAATGTGATAATGAGTATAAATCTTACCACAGGTCCTGACAAATAGCCTGTGCTCACTAACTTGAGTATTTTCAACAATCCTAAATAGTATTACTTTTACAGAACCACCACTCATCTGAGATGAGTACGCCTTGTGAAATATGTTTGATAAAATTTGGTCACTTTTTCTCTTTGTCAAACCTTGTCATTTAAGTTCTGGAGAGTATTCAGTGATCAGAACGAGATAGCTTAACAGACTCCTCACCAAATCCTCAGGCCCCTGCTGTTTACGGAAACAGCTTTCTGTTCTGATGTTTCCGATGTGTGAATGTGTTTTAGAAAAAATACATGTAATGGTAGCATATCACTGTGCTCAGTGGTATAGTTTCTTAGCTTTGCTGTTACAAATCGGTACTTCTCAAGGGTAGAAATTGAGCTTGGTAACACTCATGATATGTGAGATCAGGCTCTCCCTCCATGTTGCAGAATACAGGGAAGTAAGCCGGACTGGTAAAGCTTTTGTGCACTTGAGGCAATTTAACTTAATTTGTTTAAAAGGTATTTTGTCTTCACGGGCTAGAATGTCTTTTGTTAATGTTTGATACTCTATTTGAATCCAGGCTAGGGAGCTCTCTTTCAACACTGCAGGATACTAAACGATTCCTCTCAAACATTTATATAGTATGGTCTTCTCTGGGAGAGACTAAAATTCGTGCTTTTATTCCATTTTCGAATTAGAATTCTGAATTGTGAAAGATAGTTTTGTTCTTAAAAGCAAGTGAGGTCCAATTCAGGGTCCCTGAGTTCCAACAAAGTTGTATCTCAAGAATTGAGATTTGGTTGAATAGAGCTCAGCGTACTTGGAAGATTTTTGGTGGGGTTTTTTTTTTGTTTGTTTTTGTTTTTGTTTTTGTTTTTTTTTTGAGCTGAATGGGCCTTTCAAATGATTCTAGCTATAGATTAGTCCTATTTAGACAAAACTGTAGAATTTATCAGGAACCTACTGTGAGACAGTAACCAGCCTGCTTATTACTCATTGCCCAGGAGAATACCAGCATTGGCCTGTTCAACAAGGTATCAATTTATTGAACAATTACCATGTGCCAGACCCAGCTCTGAGTCCTGAATATAGCAGTGACAAAGACATTGTTCCTGCTGTATTCACAAGCTTATATTCAAGAGGGAGAAGTCACTAACAAACAAAACAAAACAATTATAGTGATATGTGCAGTAAGGAAAGAAATAGATGCCATGGTCAAGAACAAAGTTGGAAGGCAAAGGCCTCTCAGAGGAGGCAGCCTTTACTGGAGACCTGAAGCATAACTTCACGCCCAGCCAGCAAAGAGCCAGGGGGATTAGCGGTCCAGGGAAACACTGAGGCAAAGTCCCTGAACAGGAAAAAGCGTAGCAGAAGCCCGGAGTTCACACAGGTGACAGAAGGCCACTGCAGGAAATGCGTAACAAGCAGGGGATGTGGCATCATGTGAACCTGGAAAGGGAGGCAAGGGATAGATTATGGACAATGGTAACAAGTTTGGATTTTGTTCCACCTGCAGTGGGAAGCCATGGAAGGGTTTGTAAGCATGGGGATGACTTAGTCTATGTAATGTTCTAGAAAAACCACTCTGGCTGCTTGGTGGAAAGTGGATTCAGAAGGGTAAGAGGAAGCAAGGAGACCAGGTAAGAAGCTTTGGTAATGGTTCAGCCCTGGGTTGGAATCCTCTCCTATGGCCTCTGACTGTAGGAACCGGGCAAGTATTGAGTTCTTTTGTGGACAGGGCTAGTGTCAGTGACAATGCACAGCTTAAGATTCGTAGATTCAAGACAGTTTTTAAAAATAATAAAACTTATTACCAGGCTGGAATGGAAGGCAAGGGACAGGAAGAAATCAAAGGTGCCTTTAGGGAAGGCTGAGAAAATAGGTGGTGGTTCTATTTATTGACATTGCAAAGGTAAGGATAAGAATGGCTTTGTGGGTTGGGGGGCAAATCAGGATTTAGTGTTAGATATTAAAATACCTATGAGACCTCCAAGTGAAGGTGTCAGGTAGACACTGGAGGTCAGTGTGGAGCTCAGAGCAGAGGTCTGAGCTAAAGAGATAAATTTAGGAGTCAACAGCAATCAATGTTATTTAAACCATATACCCCCACAGTGAGAGTGTAAGTAAAGACTAGTCCTGAGTCTGGGTGGGAAAGAAAGCCCCAGCAAATGAAGGGGAGATAGAGCTCCCTGGGGAGGCCAGAGATCGTAAGGTCCCAGGAGCCAAGAGAGGAAGGTGTTCGAGGAAGGAAGGATTGGTTGGTATCTCATATGCCTCTGAGAGCTCCCACAAGGTGAAGGTAGAACGCGTCCCTTGTCCATTGGATTTGGTGGTGACTCTGACAAGGCATTTTCTGAGAGGTAGGGATAGAAGCCGAGCTGAAATAGGCTTAGAAGTAAATGGGAGGTGAGATCATGGGGACAATGTGTGCACCAAACAAAACTTGTTTGCGAGGATTTGCTGAATAGGAAAGTAGAGAAACAATAGCTTAATGATGGAGAGAGAACTGGGTTTAAGGCAGTAGGGTGTTGGTTTTTGGGTTTTTTTTAATGAGAAATACTGTTGTGTAGGTACATATCAGAAGTAGTGCTGAGAAAGGGGGATCAGTGGCTGACACGGGAGAAGGGAGATGGCCGAGAGAGTGATGTCTGTCGGAAGGCAAGAAGGGTGGGGACTTAAAATCTGGGCCCACTTTTCAAAGGCCTGCCATCCTGGCCTTAAAGATAAGATTAATTCATTTAAAAAAAAAAAAAAAAAAAAAAAAGCCCTGGCTAGTGTGGCTCAATGGATTGAGCGCCAGTCTGTGAACCAAAGGGTCACCTGTTCAGTTCCCAGTCAGGGCACATGCCTGGGTTGCAGGCCAGGTTCCCCAGTAGGGAGCACTCGAGAGACAACCACACATTGCTGTTTCTCTCCCTCTTTCTCCCTTCCCCTCTGCCTAACAATACATAAATTTTTTTAAAAAAATTAATTCAAAATGGGCTACAGACATGTGCTAAATTCTGTGGTATTGGTTGTGTATATTCTGATAACTCAGAGGAGCCAGCAGTGGAGGCCAGCTCCCTGATAAAGGTTTTTAGGAGGAGAAGGCAGTAACACTTCAGTGGGACCTTGAAGGATGAACAGAGGTTGAAGAAGGGACAGTAACACTAATGAAGAGGACGTGTGGGAGCAGCAGAGCAGACAGGGCCTCGTGTGGAGGCTGCTTCCCTGCCTGGAGGAGAGCCCCCTCATGGAGGGTGCAGCGGGGCAATGTGGGTCGTGCCCACCGGGTCCGGATGCGAGGGCTCTTGAACACCAGGCAGAGGACGTGCAGGGTCCAGGAGGAGCTGGCCGTGCACTCGAGCAGGCAGCGGGATTGCAGCGACGACACTGCAGCAGGCGGAGAGTCGGAGCTGCCTGGCGGGCGGCTGCACGGGGAGAGCTGCTGTGGGGCAGGTCTGGGTGCAGTCCTGTCATCCGGGGCTGAGGTTCCGGGCCCTCAGGAGAGCGTGGCGACAGTGGACATAGGGGGCAAGAGACAGGTACGAGGGATTTTGGAGGGAAGAACCGATAGGATATAGGTGTCAGTTTCGACAAAGAAAACTGAAGCAGAAGGTGACTTCAGGTATCCCAGACCAAGCGTCTGATGATGTCAGGAATAGTGGGAACTTTGTGCAATTTGAGGAAGCACAGATTGTCCAAAAGGGGCTTCCTAGGGTTTTGTAAAAGTGTTGAGATGTCCACACTAGAGACAGGGTAACTTCTGAGCTGAAAGGGGCCTTTTCCCTGACCGTCAGCCTGGGTCGAGTTGCCTTTGCAGAGTGGGGAGCTCCTCCATCTCCTGAGAGAATTGATGGGGCGGGGGGCGGGCAGGCAGTAGCAGCCATTGGTCTCGGCTTGGAGATCAAGCTCCACAGCTCAGCCCTGGGACGATGACAGAGGCCAGGTCTCCTTGCTTAGCCTGGAATTTATTTATATCATTTTATTATTTTAATGTGCATTTGCTGTGGAATCTGGGGAAATATATTTCTTTATTTAGCCTATCAGAACACTTAGGTTTGGCAGATTATTTTTCAATTTAAAAACCTGCCTAAGAAAATAAAAATCCAGCATTTTGTCTTCTTATTCTGTCTGTTTTGAATATTGTAAATGAAAATGGAGAACAGAGAATCTGAGCTTTACTGAGTGTTTCCTGCCTTCACCTCCCTATTTGTTTTGGGATTTTGCCTCCCACCAGCTCCTCCTCAAGAGCCTCCTAGTCCTCTCCGCAAACCAGCTGCTTCCTTCGGGGTTATTGCTCCTAATGCGAAGGGGCCTCCAGGGTCAGAGAAGGTTCTCCGAGGTGGGGGACAGCTCCCGCTGAGCCCCACTGCAGGCTCTGCCCTTCCCAGCAGCTCTGTCTGCTGCAGCAGACCCTTACAGCAATCAGGGAGGGTTCAGAGTCATGTTAGTGGGAGGGAGGGATTATTACAGTACAGGTTGCTGGCTCTTGCCCGTGTGCTGTGAATGCTCAAGGACTCTCTTATAAATCTTCCGGAATCGCTGCGGAAAATCCACATGCCATTGGAGAGCAGTGTAGGGTTATCCGACAGTCATTTCTGAGACCTTCCAACAGCCCAGCTCTGACGCTTTGGAGAAAGCTTGAGAATAAAACTGCTGAGTGAGCCTCCATTTGAACAGTGTTGTTTTTCTTATTTGGCACAAAAGAAATGAGATTTCCCCAGCTGGTGTGTCCAGAATTTCTCCTCTCTTCTGCGTGTGCATAAGTGCACACAAACACGCACATGCACATACTTCAGAAGCTTTAGGACCAGAACCCTCTTAAGCAGACAGAAGTACCAGCCGCGCACTGCAGGACCACCCGTGCCTTCTCTAAAGTTAGCTCGCTGTGACAAGACAGCAGGTAGAGTTAGATAGCATTTGCCTAGACTCTTGTCTTTAAAAGACCATGCGGCCTCAGAGAATTTCTAAAGAATTGTCTGTTCTCTCTCCTTCCAGAGGGCCAGTTGAGAGTAGACACCAATATATCCATGCATCACCCTGGGGAGCCTTTGGGTGTTCGAACAGAAGTGAAGAAGAGAATTTCTAAAGAATTGTCTGTTCTCCTTCCAGAGGGCCAGTTGAGAGTAGACGCCAATATATCCGTGCATCGCCCTGGGGAGCCTTTGGGTGTTCGAACAGAAGTGAAGAATCTCAATAGTGCCAGGTTCTTAGCCAAAGCGATAAGTGAGTACCAGCTGCTACTCCTTTGTGCACATCTTTGTGTCGGTTCTCTATTGCTGTGTAACAAGCCATCCCAGACCTTCTCGTATCCCAGACCAGGTGACTTGTACAGCCATATAATTTCCAGCAGTGCTGTGGATTGGGTGGTTTTCCGGCTGGTCCTGCCTCAGCTCACTCATGTGGCTGTGGAAGCTGGCAGCTCAGCTGAAACAGAGGGCCCGAGGTGACCTCCCTCACGTGCCGGGGCCTTGGTGCTGGAGGTCTACTAGGCTTCTCTGCCCCAGATCTTCCTCCATTTGCTGGCCTAGCCCAGGCCCAGGCATTGGGGGATCCCAGGATAAGAGCTCCTGACAGGCAACAATTCTAGGTCTGGAGTCACTCGGCCTGGAGAGAGGTCCCAGCCCTTCTTCGGCCGAGTTGTGTGACCTATACTGGGTCACTTGATCCCTCCGAACCCAAGTTTTCTCAAAAAGGGAGGAGTAGAGTTTCCTAAAAGACCCTTTTAAGCACCGTTATTCTATGATAGCAACAAGAAGAAAATAGAATGTGTGGTAGTCCCTCCTTGTCCTCAGGATATATTCCAAGACCCACTGTGGGTGCCTGTAACTGTGGATAGTACCAAACCCTATAAATACTATATTTTCTTCTATCTATTAATTAGGCACAGTAAGAGATTAATAATAATAACTAATAATAAAGTTTAAAACGAGTATAACAATATACCACGATGAAAGTTTTGTGGATATAGTGCCTGTCTCTCTCTCAAAATACCTTGTTGTACTGTGTTCACTCTTAACTTGTGGCCATGTGAGATGATCCAGTGCCTAGGGGTTGAGATGAAGTGAGACAAATAATTTTTAGTTGAAGATTTCAGAAGGTTTTTTAAATATTGCTTGGTTGGATGAAAGGAATCAAAAACATAATACTAAATTACTGTGTTTTCCTTAGACTATGAAATCCAGAGGCAAATCAGAGAACTTGAGAATGGCGGTGAAATCCTGAATGAAACTCGCTCCTTTGACTACAAGCTGGGGTGAGTCTGCCCCGACGAGGGCCGGGAGTGCGGCTGGCGGGGCTGCAGTTTGGGCAGGCGACTCGGGGGAAGGTGCTTGGCTTCTCTGCGCTTCAGTTTCCTCGTTAGTAAAATTAAGAAAATACTGTGTCCTACAGCAGTGGTTGCTAACCTTCTTGTCACGAGGGTTCGTGGAAGACAGTTTTTCCACAGATGGGGGGCGCGGGGAGAGTTCAGGCGGCAACACCAGCAACCGCTGCTCACCGCCTGCCTGTGGCCTGGTTCCTAAGAGGCCAGGGACGGACCAATAAGGGCCCGAAACCCGGGCGCCGGGCCCGTCCTGCAGGATTGCGATATACCCTGCAGGGCTGGTAGAAGGGTTAGGCTGACCCACACTTGTCGTAGTGCTTACTCTCAGGTCCTGTTCCTGCCCTTGCTTCCAAGTTACTTGCTTTGCAGCAAGAAGTTTTATTTTCTCAAATTCTATCCAACTAGAGCTCTACCAATTTAAGATAGACGTAGAAGACATTGAGAGCTGGTTGTAGAGGTGCCCTTTTTGTTTGGATAACACTGACTTTCATTTTTCTAACGCAGAAATTTTGAGGATTTTATGCTTTTAACAGAAGACTAAGCAAAGCTCAAAAGCCTAGACTTAGAGCTGGTTAAAAGCTCTTTGCATTGAAGAAGCTTCTTTTTTTAAAATTAGCATTCTAAACATTTTTCTTTTTTGATATTATTTCTTAATGTAGTCATAAAGTGTCTCCCAAGGTAGACTGAAGAGCTGGAATTTGCCTGCGCCCCTTATGGGTAGGGAATCCCCTCTCTGCATGTGTGCCAGCCGCTGTCGCATGCAGTCTCTGTTTAACATTTTCTTACTTAACGATCATAGGTGCACCGTGCCGATGAGAGACAAAGAAGGAAAACAAGACTACAGGTGATTACTCATCTTGTCAGCAGCATTATGTGTTGGGGGTTAGAGGCATATTTCAAATCGACTTGCAGATCAACCTAATGATCCTGGGTAGTTTTTTAAGAACCACTTTTTGTTATTATTGTTGCATGATGGAAAATCTAGACTTCCTTTCTTAGTGTACACTGAGAGAAAGAATATATCCTTAATGTGGTCACCTTGGAGTGCCATATTAGACGGGATTCAGCTGTTGGAAGACACTCGTTCACTCGCCCCTGTGCGAGAGTTGTTCCAGTTGAGCTGAGAGGGGGCAGTGAGGGTGGGGCCCGGCCTGTTCTTAGTCTCCCATTCAGCAGCACATTCAGCAAGGCCCCGCAGTCCCGCGGGAAGAAGCGAGGAGAGAGCTGTTTGTGTTCCTGGCACTGCCCTTCAGACCTCAGGTGATGCTATTTAGTTGGTAAATTAAACAGGTTGGACTTACTATGAGACCAGAAATAAAGCAAACAATAAGGGCAGACTTAAGATAAATGAACCTTTCGTTTTTTTCCCCATTGCATTTAGCAGATTGCAGAGATCGAAGTTTTGTGCATCGAAGTTGTTAAGGGTAACCCCCCTTTCCTTGGTGACGTGCAGGAAGATGTAAATGTAGCTGCTCCTGTCCTTGAGGATGTGGGAAAAAAGCAGCTCGTAAACCTTTAGAGTGAACTTCCCCTCCAGACCCCTCTCGTGCTATCTGTCCGAGTGGAGACGGTGGTCATTACTGTGGTCGTCTAGGTTCAGTCTGTTCTTCCCAAGGGCTTTCTGTCCCCCAGTGTTGCCCCCACTCTGTTCCTGCTGCTCTCTGTCGCAGCGCAGAGTAGGGTTTTGGTTTAACCAGTGGTTTCCGCTCAGTCCCTCAGGTTAATAGACAGGATTCATTGTTACTTAGAGAAGTCACACTGATTCATAGCACTGGTTCGCCATCCAGGTGACGGGTTGCTTATACTTCTACTCTGTCACCTCGGGGGCCACCGTTTGTTCTGCATTATCCTGCACCAGCATAAGCCCTTTGACAAGTAGAAGCAGAGAGAAAACAATAGATTCTGGAATAAAACAGAGGGAAGGACATCTTTGTTTCATAAGATTATATGCAATGGTGTAGCTTCACATTTTTAAAAAACTGTTTTTTAGAGCAGTGTTAGGTTTTGAGCAGAATTGAGTGGTAATTACAGAGCATTCCTATATGTTCCTTGGTATATGCCAGATACCATATACTTTCCCTTCCTCCACAGTTTCCCCTAATAACATCCTGCATTAGTGCGCAGTGTGGTATATCTGTTACAATTGATGGACTGAAATTGATACCTTATTATTAACTGAAATTCATAGTGTACATTAGGGTTTGCTCCTTATGTTGGACATTCTCTGGGTTTGACAAATGTCTAATGACATTTATCTGGTATTACAGTGACATACAGAAGAGTTCCACTGCCCTGACCATCCCCTGTCTGTGCTTCATCTCTCTCTCCCTCCTTCCCCTCTAGCTTCTACCTTTTATTTAAGCAAAATCCACTCATTTCTCCTACTTCCCAAGAAAATGTTTTCTTATTGTTTGACTTTTCACTTATTACACAAATACCGCTAAAAATAGTGGAAATTTTAAAATCGAGGAAGTCATCTTTCTCCCTAATAAGTCGTTGTCATTTGGTCATATGTCCTCATGGATATATACTGTACCCACAGTTACACATCACAGCGTGGCACGAACCGCCCTGTGCCTTTTTCACTCATCACTAGTTCACAAGCACAGAGAGCGGCAGCATTGGTGTCTCCAGCTGTAGTTTACACTTGTGCAAAGACCAGTTCCTAGGGAACAAGGGGCCGCCATTGCTATTGGAAGGTATTAGAAAATATCTGCAAGTAAATGGCCTATATACACAGAAACTTTCATATTGATGATAGTTTTGGGGTTTTTTTGTTTTTTTTAAATTAAACTAAATACTTCGGAGTCAGGCCCTGTCTCCTTCCTGCCTAGGTTTATTCCTGAACCCAACCTGCCTCCCCTGCTGCTCTACGACTCAGCGTCTCTGCCTGCGGGCACAGACCCACAGCAGGTGATCAACATTGACCAGATTCGGGAGCAGCTCCCCGAGCTCCCCAGCGCGACCCGGGAGAAGCTCATTCAGCAGTACGGGATGCTGCCAGAACAGAGCCTCACCTTACTGGTGAGTATCCATCAGGACTCGGACCAGCTCAGCGGGTGGGGTAGCGCTGTTCAGCGGGCTCCAGGTGAAGGGAGCCGGCAGCTTGCGCTGGTTGTACGGCAGGTGCTCCTGAGCAGAACAAGGGGCGCTGACCTTCGCTTACTGCTCTTAACTGTAATGCTCATCAGACCTGAAGCAGAATCTCGCATCTCATTTCTTTTGTGTAGAAACAATCGGCTGCTCACAGCAGCCATGAGGCTTCTTGAAGAGCCTTCAGACAGTAGGGGTTTCCTCTGTGTCTGTGGGACAACAGAAGATCCATGTATATAGTCTCTAGCCATGTTGAACCACGACAGAGTCTGGCAAGAAGTTAGGTTCTCAAAAGCCAGCTCGTCACTTTACCGATTGTAGAAGAAAACAGTCATTCCACACGAAGTGCTGAAAACTCACTAAAAGCATTGGTCCTGTGAGACTTGAGGGTATGTCTGAAGGGGGCATTAGAGAACCTGACACCTCTGAGACCTGCATGGGGATTCAGAGCTTCTTGGGGCTTTGCAGTTTTCTTTGTCATGGCGACATTAAAGTGAAACGGCACCAGTGAGCGTAGCGTGTGGTCCCTGTTGTCTTCTGCTTGTCTGTAGGAGGAAATGGAGCATTTTGCTGCTTCCATCTTTTAGGGACTAGGTGTAGCGGAAGAATCTGTGGAAGTCTGCATTTTTTTTTTCCATTTTAATTGACCAACAATAAGTATCTGAGGATGTTAGGATATACATATGTTTGTGAAAATTTGTACAGTTCAATAACAGCAACCCAGGCATTTCTGGTACAAAGTACTCTGTCGAATGTTTGGTGAATGAATGATTTTTCTCTTTACCATCTATAAGTCAGTTAATTTGACTTACAGTGTGGAGTCTCATGTGAAAACGCCTTTTCCACTACCAGTGCTGGTTAGGCACGGTTCTTTTTTTTTTTTTTTTTTTTTTTCATGGCTTTAGACAGAGTTGATCACTGTCTCCTACAAGCTGCCGGTCTATCTTATTCCTACCTCTGTGGCACTTTTATCATTGTATTTTAATTATTTATTGGTGTATCTCGTTCGGCGCCTTGAAGGCAAGGGCGGCTGCGTCCTCTCGCTCTGTTACGCAGCACAGATGAGCACAGCCGCAGCGCTTCCAGCCAGACCTTTGCATGAATCCGTGTGTCAGTTCCTCGTACCGCCCACCTCTTAACCTGTGTTCTTCCTGGGTCAATTTAACAAAACTTGAGTTTCAGTCTTACACATCTTCCCCACCAGCTTGATCACTTGACTTTTCAGCCCACTCCAGATAAATTCCAGAATAAAAACTAAATGCCAAATTCTGGCCCTGCACTTCCTGACCTATCTGCCAAGCTCAGCAGGGGACCTGAGGCCGGGGACCTGAGGCCGCTCGGCCTCCAGGCATCGGTTCCCGCTCCCACGTGGCGATCCACCAGGTGGACGGGCCGCCACTGGCAGTGGGGAATGAGGAACTCAGGGTACTTGGCCATTTTTTTCCCCCTAAGACTGATTTCTGAGAAGAATCCACTAAATAGAACGTTAAATGTTGTTTGTGTACACCAGCTTTCTTCATAAGAGAAGCGAAAGGGCCCTTCTGCATCTCCTCTCGTGAGTGTGGCCACTTCTCTTTGAGGCACTGCCTGGAAATCAATGCTCCCTTCTGAGCACGTCTCTGGGGCGTTGTCGCACTCGCCCCTGAGGAGCCCGTAGCACATTCTCTGAGGGCAGGCCATTGTCATATCCCTGTCTGTGTCCCTGCTCCCCTCACCTGTCCTTCACAGGGCCAGAACCCAGGAGGCCTTGAATGAACGCTTGCTGAGGGGTGGCAGATGCATGAGTTTATGTTTTCATACTTGAAGGCCCCTTCTAGAGGAACCTACTTTCTGTCTATTCACTTCAACACTCTTATTGGCATCTCTTAGGTAGCAGGTACTGAGACAAGGGCAAAGTTAAAAAGAAAAGAAAAAGAAAAAGAAAAAAAGATGTTTTCTTTGCTTTCCAAGAATTTACTTATACACACACAACACTGCAGTGAGCCAGCCCCGGAGGCGGATTGCAGCATGTAAATGTACAGTGTGGAAGGGGAGCCCAGAGGGGCAGTGAGTGCCTTCATTAGGACAAAAGAGGAAACCCTCAAGAAGGTGATTTTTGAGCCATTTTTGAAGGGACTCATTTTTTGATATCTTAAAACTATGCTTATTTTTATAGCTTGAAAATAACTTATTAGGTGGTTGGTTTTATGGGTTTGTTTTGTGTTTTTTTTAAGGGCTAATACTTGAAATCTTCGAGATGGGGAAGAAGAGAGCTCAATAGGAATGGGAAGAGAATGATTCAGACAGATTGTTTTCCTGAAATTAGGCATCCTGAGCTCTTTATGACTTTGCAATCATTGGAAGCTGAGTTCCTCCTAACGTACCCAAAATGAGATGTTCGTGTTTTTTCCTGCCTTTATCAGAAACACAGCAGATTGCTGAGAAGGGCAGATGCACAAATCTAATGAACCATCTTTCAATTTAAAGAGTGCCCAGGAGTATTCATTAAATAAATAACAGTGGTGGAGGTGTGCTTTGCAGAGCTCCAGCCCCACGCACTGGGCCTTTGCATGGCTTATTAAATGAAGCATAAAGCGCAGACCCACCCACCCGCACACACATGCCTGACCCCCAAATAATGACTTCAGAATTTAACTCTAGTCTTTAATTTGTCCTGTCATTTTAGTATGCAGTAAGCACTGAATTATTTATTGCTAGCTTATCCTTGATATTTGTGGAACTCTAATATTGTATCTTAGCATCCGCCACAATGGCTGGCACATAGGAGGCAGTCAGTGAATATGTGCTCAGTGAGTGGAGGACAGATGAGTAAATGCATGGGATACCATGACAATACCCACAGAAGTCCTGGGGGAAGCAGTGCTCCTCATAAAAGCACCCCTGTTTCTAAAGGTCAGATGCATTAACCGCCCTTGCGACAACCAGCAAATCAAGGAATGAGCCCTGCTCACTGAGCTCTGGGTGAAGAGACCTGGCTTACTGCTTCGGCCACGCCCTGCACCAGGACCAGATGCCAGTCACGTGGTCTCTCTGACTCGTTTTCTGAACTGACTTCATTAGGACATTAAATCAAACCTATGTTCTGATCCTCTCTCTCAAAGCATCCTGATGTTCCTCTCCCAACCAATACCTGTTTTAACTTTTTTTCTCCTGAGCCACTTAGAAAGTGTCATGCTCCACCTGAACTTCACCCTAGTTGGCTAACCTTGGTTCCCTATCTTTTGTCAAATTGCCTTGACTTCCGACCTGATAGGTAAGGAATAAGGAACAGAAATGTGGAGGCCGAGCTTCAGGTATTAGAAAACGGGAGAATTCTAATAGCATAGCAAGTCCTTCTCTGAGTCATTATATCCAAGAGTAATTATTAGAATGATCAAGATTATGTGCATGTGCATTTTTCTTAATAAACAATCCCAGGGCGATGTCTTCAGGGGCATCCTGCCTTACCTGACTCAGCCAACGCAAACAAATTGCAGTCATTTGCCTAAGCAGCACATAAACCAGGCCATTCACTTACAGCCTGCCCTGCGGTTTACAACGGCCCACTTCTTAATCTCTCCTCCAGCAACCCTCTCCGGGTGCGTACAGTTGTTCTACCCATTTTACAAGGGAAGAAGCATAACCTCTGGGGTTGAGTGGTTGCGTGTAAGGCGTTCAGTAACTTTCCCAAGTCCGCGGGGAGCCGCGGTCGGGCCGGGCTGACTTCAGGGCCAAGGCCGTTCTTTTCTAAGCTCCACCACCTGCCCACACCTACGTTGTGCCGCCGTGCCCAGTAGAGAGAACGTTTCATGTTCTTTGCTGTTTTGGAGAGAAGACAGAATTTTTACTTTCATTAACAGTAATGTTTTATCAATCCCACTGGTGCTTCATGAAGCACAGTCATAGCACATCAGTTCATTTAAAGCTTTTGACCACTTCTCTTGGTTTTTAAGATTCCTAACTACCTTATAAATAAACAGAAAGTGCTGTCTGCTAAATTTAGTCAAAATCAGTCAACACTAAGGAAAAGCAGAAATTATGTCCATTTTCCAAGTAGAAAACTTCAGTCAGAAAAGAAATATCAGCTCTCCTCTTGCAGCTTTGTTTCTTAAACTTCCTGCAGTAGGCGCTTGGCGCCTTCTCCCGGTGTCATTGAGAAGGGTCTCCATGTAGGGCCGGGTGTGTGTGAGGTCTGCGGGGTTTGTGGGTGTGTGGGATGATTTGGCCTGGACCCTCACATCACGTGGCTCAGCACATGGAAGGAACGGGTATGAGCTTACAGGGTGACTCGCTGTGTATGAAGCCAATAGAAGGTTTCAGTCTCCTCCGTTGTGGGAGTTCACAGAGAAGGAAAGGCATAGCATCCCAGCTTAACGTTTTTTGAGAGCCTGCTGTCCTCGCCACATGCCCTTTGCTATTGTCAAATGTAAGAGCTTTTTTCTTTTCCACGTTGCTTTTAACTCCCTTGAGTAGCCCCCCCCCCCCCGCCAGGGCAGGGGATTAAAACTGACTAAGGGATAGATACTCCTGATTCCAGGTCTCACTTCTGACACTTAGGAGCGGGGGCAGGGCTCTGCCGAGGTAGCCGGAGCCGTAGCTTCCCCAGCTGAAGGAAGAAGGGAATGATCTACTTTCCCCAAAGATAATAGATACAGAAGAGCCCTCACTGAATCTAAAAAGAAGTCAAAATACGGCCAAGCAGACTCCCAAGAAAACGCTGCCCAAGAGAACAGCACTGCTAATGCATAGGGAGCCAGGTGGGGCAGAGAGTCAGGGAAAGTCCCCGTGGCCACATCGGCGACCCGTGCCGCCACATGTTCTGTCTGTCTTTGGGTGCAGCCTCGAGACGTGTAGTCAGTAGTCTTTGAACAACTTCATTTCTCCCCAGCTGGTTATTCCCCACTTAAAGTCATAATCTTTGTTTCTGACATCATAGAAAAGGTTAAGGTGTC